AATCCTTCTCCGCAAGGCGAAGTGGTCCGGACGCCAGTGACACCAGGGGCACTTATATTGTTGCATAATCTGATTAAAGAGGATGCTTGTGCGGAAGATGAGATAAGCAAACAATGCCTACAGAGGCACATACAGAAATTTGCCAATGCTGCCCAAACATGCTTTGCCGAGCGTGCTCTTCAGCAGCAACAAATCCATTTTCTGAGGAAAGTAAACAATGAAGCCAAAGTTTGCCAATCTACTAGATCACTAGTAATAGGGACGGCAAAGGTCATGAGCTATGAGGATCTTGAGGAGGCACGGAAGAAGCGTGCTGAAAAGGATGCTGCTAAAGCGAAGAGTAAAGGAAAACGTGATCGAAAGCGCAAGAGTGCTGCATCAGAGATAGATGTGATAGGTCCGAAGGCTAAAGTAGCACAGATAAGTGAAGAGCTAGAGCCAGTGAGAGCTCCAGTGCAGTCCGCACAGGCTGCCCCAGTAGCACAAATGTATTAAGATTATCACAGCCTTCTTCTGTCACGGCTAGTGTGTCGGTTAGGGAAGGAAGATTGCGATTGCACCACAATCAGCTGATAGTCACCAGGAACATGTGTTGGAAATGATGGAATTGATTGATTGTGTAACTATGGAGGTTGACGAGTATATATACACTGAGTAGTCAAGACAGCCGTAGGCTCCAGCAGCAGGCAGTAGCAGGCAGCACTGCAGCAGCAGGCTACAGTAGGCTGCAGTGAGTCAGTGACGCTAACAGTACCCGTTTCGTGAGTAATCCAACAACATGTGATGGATAGCGTGATGATCACACGGAGAAGTAGAATATAAAAGCCCACTCGGACTGAACACGAGAGGGAACATAGCAATCCACACTCTTTTAACCGCTGTGTATTGAGTGTCCTCAAACCCCAACATCTTCTAACGTTACATTTTGTGTTGTAATAATTGTTCTCCCGTGATTCTTCATCCTCTTTTAATAGTAGTTTCTTAAAAAGACAGCAACAGTCATCTCTAAAGCAAATAGCGGCTATTTTCAATATACCATTATGAAAGGGTGTCGACACTAATTGCTTATTCACCTGTTATTGATTGCACAAAAATGGCGAGCTCAGCAGCCACAAAGTCAGCAGCACAGCCATTCTTAAAGTCGTATAGTGTTTAGAGAGATACAGTGTCTAGAATAATACTGGCTTAGTACTGTACTGTAGAACTGTGCTAATCTATATTAGACTGAAGCGCCAAGGCCCATACCGCCGATAAAACTCCTCTTTACTCGGTCATGCTCGGAATACTCATTTCTGAGGAATTGTTATCTCCAAATCTTGCAATGATATTCTTCCTTAATAGAAGTTCCCTACTACGACCTTGGAATTTATAGAATGGTTAAGAGTGGTAATTTGGCAGGGGAGATTTGCTGAAGCGACTCCTGATGATGTCAACAAAATGATCAACAGCATGGTTAAAACTGCAGTAATTTTCTCTTACAAGCCAAATACTAGAGTAGAAGTAGCTCGACTATAATTGTTTTACGACTATAGCTTAATAAATTTGCAATTGAAAAATTTAATGTGGTTAAACGGTAGTCCTGTCCGGTTACACAGTGTGTCCAGTGACATAGGGAGGGATGTTACTTTGTTTTATCCTTTTGCAGCGTACCACACATTGCTTCCTTCTTTCAAACGCAGTAACATCCATCCACAAGTAACGGAACAACCGCCGTAGCAGATCAATATCAACCTTTTCAGCACTTCAGACATTGCAACACGACTATATGGAGCCATACATATTGTTTACTTATAGATTAGCTAATACTATATACCTATTGTTGGATTCAAATTAGAAAATTACATCAGCCCTTTGCTGTTCTCCTCTGCTTAAGCACGGAATCAAGTAGGTCTTGGGGCTTCAGAGGTATAAGACGAAAGTTTGATTGGTTAAGTCACTATCTCTGGGAGTTAGTGAACCGAGAGTTTCACTGTACAGATGGGATGTAGGCATGTAGCTTAGCATGTGACTAGGCGTGGGCATGTCATTTGTATCAAAGGAAGTGCGCTATACTCAATCTGATTCTGAAACAACCACGTGCCTTTGTTTTATTTGCAATGCAGTTCGTTGCAATGCCTGGTGCTGGGTGGTGGCTTTCACACAGGAAACCAACCCACCTTGCGGTTTTGGCAAAGAAACACGAAAGAACGAAGGCGGAAAGTCAGAGGAAATGCAGATAAACAAAGAGATAAAGCTAGCCAGATAGGAGAAGAATTTAGTAAAAATATCAAAGCTAGGAATAGGATTAAAGTTAATTAACGATATAAGGACGGTACTGAGATTTGGCAGGAATACAAGTTTATGGCCGGTGCTACCTATCTAACCATTTTAGGTAACGCGGTCACGGTCCCGCACCCGCACCTTCCGCGTCAGCAGTAAATGGTTGTCAGATAATCATCACCACTCATCCTATGCCCTCTTTGAAATGTTTGCTTCAATATGGTCTAAGCTTGGCTGGCCGGAAGAGCCGACGATTGATCCTCCAACCGTTACCATCACTGGCATTAGGATACCGGCCAACGGCTCTCCTGCCCATCTCCTTTCGCTTACCACGATAAGCATGATAAGCACAACTAGAGCAACGGACGACTTCCTTCTCCACATTCCCGACCTACGCGAATATTGGCCATCAGAAGATGGATGGAGGCGCCGCAACATCCACAGACTCGATCTCTACCAAGAGAGATCTTCCCAACAAGTGCGCTATCTCTAACAACAAATCGAGCTCTGGAAGAGTTATGATTTGCAGCGGTCATTTGGTTTCCGGAATTGCGAGCAACCGCTTCGTCTCAGGCAACGACTTTATCTTCCGCAAGAGCATTGTTCCCTCCAAGAACCGCATCTATTGTGTGTTGGAACCTACTACGTCTTCTATTCCTTTGACGTCGATGGACTATCCCAAAATTTCCATGTTCCTCCCTGGATCAGTGGCGATCATGGCCATGGGTATTATGGTGACTGTATCGGCGCTGGTCAGCTAAGGATCCGAATCTGGTGGGATCTCACTCAGAGGCATATGGGAGTGCGTGTTGGAGAAAGGGTCACCTCAAATCGATAGCTGCCAATAGGCCTGGTACAAAGAGAATACAAAAAACTACTGAGCTACCTTTCCGACACGGCTCCTTATAACTGATTGCCAAGAGTTGAGGCTGGCTGACTTGTCAATACTCGTGTTCCCACCGACATCGGTCCGACTGTGCCTTGACCCAGGACTCTGCACGGTGACTCCGTATCAGCTCCGATTCGGAACACTGCCCCAGGTTCTGCAGTGGCTGAGCTGTGGCGCTTCTGTGAGGCTCAATTCTCCATGAAGCGATACAGTGACGTCTTTATGGTGAAAGTAGACTCGCAGGGAAAGGATGATTGGGCCACCTATGAAGACATGGCTCCGGACTTTCTACATTTACTGGACAAGACTGCACTGTAGGACTGGAGAAGAAAATGTAAGGCCCTCACTTTCGCATGGTAATACCTGTCGTGCCTGCCGTCATGCGCTCTTTTGGGGTGGCGCTACCTGGCTTATGCCTTTTGATGATCGTTTCTGCAATTTTATGATGCTCACTATTGATGCTACCGCTCCCGGTATGTCCTGTGGTGTCCGCATGCCTGTCACTCTGTACCAACTTGATATAGAAATCTTGAAGTTTCCTTCGAATTTATGCCGCTTTATTTTGAATTACTTCAAATCTTTGACTATAATACAATGGATCTTCTCAGACGAACTTTTTGGTTAAGTTATACTAAATATGCATTGATGATTTCTTAACCATGTAACCCTTTGTAGGATGGGGTTAGTAATGTTTGACTTTCTTACTTTAGTTATACTCCTTTCTTAATACATGTGCTCATTGATGACCTGGAGGCTAGGCGATAGAGCGGAGCCTGGGATGGAAGCTGTGCTAGAGTGGGTGCTGGTCTCTAGGCAGGGCTGGGAACTGCATCCTATTCCCCAAACTGACACTAGCATAGAATTGTTATGATACAAAGTACATCTCATTAGGCCTAATGCGATTGATCCTATCTACTGTAATAAAATGCGATATGGGACTATAGCGAGCATGTCTAGAACAAACATAACTTACGTGGTAACTGTAATGAAGTTGAGTATCTTAAAGATCATATTGGTCCTTTTCCTTTCCTCATGCCACCTAAAATGACTTTCTATGTTATGGTGGAAACTATACCCATCCCTGTCCATAAACTATGGCTTAAGCCTTACTCTAAGTCATTTTCCTACCACACCTGCTACAACTATTTATCAGCCCATGTTGGCGTCGTCAAATTCGTTAACGTCATCATCCATCCGAGAAGTGGTCTTTTTGGATGTACGTGTGGAGCGCAACTTTGAACGCCGAGGCAATGAGTGAGCCGATGTTGTTGGTTTAGACGTTTGGAGGGTTTGTGTTTGTTTGGGGAGCGCCCCTACTCTATCGTCGACGGAAGTTCTGCGTATTCGTTGTGTTTGTTTGGCGTGGGGGTGTCTCCGCTGGAGGTGGGCCGGCGGCAATTTGCTGGTTGGGATCATGTCCTGCACCGATACGAGTCCTCTTTGATGGAGGCGATGACAATTCCCCAATGGAACCATAATCTGTATCAGAACCGCGTTCCAAGATTCCACGTTTTGCGTTGCTCTTGTTCGTTGATGTCTGTCTAGCAAGTGTGTATGTTTTATTGTCATGGAGACTTGCTGACTGTTGGTCATTCTGTCGGGCCTTGTGTCCTGGCACTTCTGAGCGTGTTCCGCTACCAGTTAACTGCATGACTTGCATTGCTGGGCGGTTTGAGACGACATTCGAAGATGTGTTGGCGATAGTGCCGGCAAATGTTGCCATTTGGCGTTTGGAGGCGACATCCGATGACGTACTGGCGATAGTGCCGGTAGATGGTGCCATTTGACGTTTTGTAGGCGCCACGGACGCTGTTGGTTTATCAAGAGCGGTTGACTGCACTGCTGGATGTTTCGACTGAATCGGAATCGAACCGATCACCTACAGGATGTAGCATCTTACTGCAGCCTGCCGCTCTACCAACGAGTTACCAGTCCCTGACTGTTTCATACTGAAAGTTCTGCTCTTGGAAATATGAAATACTAACGTAGCTGAACCGAGAAGTCGTGATAATATTTCCCGCCAAAAACCTTTACAAGCAGCGTTTGCAGAGTACCAATGCGGCTGAGTCGATGTTCGCTTCACAAAGTGAGTTATCTCCACTCAAACGCATCCGACGACCATCACCCCTCCGCCCTTCGCCCATGATACATGCCCCCCTCTCGCCCGTCAACCATCATACACCCCCCCTCCCGCTCCCTCCCCTCCCAACCCTCCAAATCCCGCCTCAAACAACCCCTCACCCCCTTGCAAATCCCTCAACCCCATTAAATTCAAAAACTCCCTGTCCTCCTCCCAATTCATCTCCTCGAACCAACTACTCGGCAAGAACGGCAGACCCGCGCCATCGAAACCCGCACGACTCGCCTGCGCTCCCCACACGGGCGTCGCCGTGCCTCTCGTCGGAGCCTGCGATGACGCCGTAGTGTTTGGGAGCGGGATGTCAGTGCCGAGAGCGTCGGAGCGAGATGCTTGATTTGCAGTTGTTGACTGCATAGGGAGATGGATTGGTAATTTCGACGAAGATGCGAGATGCTCAGAGGATGGCAGATTCGGATCGATACTTAGCGCCTTTGTACCGCCTGAATGATCCCTCTCCTCGTCGTGCAGGAAATGCTCAACGACGGTCGCCATGAGATTGGCTGGTTGGTACATGTGCTGCATGTCTCGCATCGCATCACGCAGCTCCTTCAAATGGCCGAGAATATGCATGGGTTCTGCTGCGTCGGGATCGGCTTGTAGCGTGCTGACTTCGGCCATGAGAGCTGTGGCGGCGGTGCCAACGTGCTGGAGCCCGGTGACGAAGACGCGTTGGATTGGGAAGCGCGCGCGGTAGTGACTGATTATCGAGGCTACTTCGACGGCGTTGGCGACGCAGACGGAGCGCGAGAGGGCGCTGAAGTGTGTGGAGCCCGAGTGTCGGACGGGGGTTTGGGGGGCACTGGGGGAGGAGAGGCTGGGAAAGGTGCGGTGGAGAAGGATGAGAGCTGTGTGGTATTGTGTGCTGCGCCGGGTAAGCTGATGTATTCAAAGGGGAAAATTGGGTGGACAGTCTCACTGGAGTAAGTAGAAGCTCGGGGGAGCATTGGCAACGTTTTCGGTTGTCCATCGTAATCGTTCTGGCAAATCGGCGTACCAGTTGTTGAGTGCTCTGTCGAGGGTAGCGATCTTCAGATAAGCGTCTGCAGGCTTTAAATTTTTCCGGAGGTCTTTTGTTTCGCAAAGGGGCTCCAGTAGATCCATGAGTTGGAGCAGTGCTTCGTACACGCGTGTCTCGATTGTCTTCTCGTAAGCATAAGTTCGTGTTTGACTCTCAATAAGGCGATCAAAGTCCTTATTTAGGCAAGCCGGAGCAATATCAAATGCTTTGAGCGTTGTCGGCCGACCGAGATACAGGGCCCAATAGCTGGTGCTGTTAGGATGTGGCCAGTGCTGATGTGCATCAACCTACACATCGTTCATGATGCACGCCCACAGCACCATGTGTCTGATTTGAACTTCGCGCTCCGTCAGGCGCAGTTCACATGGGTCAACATGCAGACCCACGTCGAACAACAGCCTGAAAGCCATCCCTGCGAACATCCATCCGGTATCGTCTCGCCCAATTCCTACTTCGAGGTCTCCCAGCAGAGAGAAGGCCTGTATCGAAGGCACCCCGCCAGGCTTGACCAGTTCTAGCTCTGCCATCTTCTTTGCTTTTGTATGAAACATGGATGAATCCGAATCTTGACATGCAAACTTCTTGATGTCTGGCCTTGACATGTCAGCGTAACGATACCCTTCCGCCAACATGGTCATGTGGAGGAAGTTCGAATAGAACTGAGTGCCTCCAGACTTCAGGTCATCGAGAAAGGCCCACTTGTGGACAATATGCAAAGCAGAATTATGGTAATCAAAGAAAAGATCGATCAAGTAATCGTGTGTCACGGGCGATAGGTCTCGAACTAGCGTGGATATCGGCCAGAAGGTCTCCTGCATCTTTCCCGGATCCGAAGTTGACCTCGACAGAATATGCATATTTGTCGTAGGACCGAAAAAGCGTACTCGCCCCGAAGCCATGTCGAACTTGACGGGCCGTGGCGTAAGTTTACCGAGGATGGCTCTGCTCTGGGCTGCTGCATCATTTGTTTGGGAAACTTGACCTTGTTGCGAAGCTTTTGGATATGGAGGCGGCTCATCATCGTAATACGGCGTTGTCTGTGATTCCGAGTCTGTCTCGGCGGCCTGTGGCTGATGATCATTGCCATGGTCGAGGATGACTGAGGGCGTAGGAGGAATGGCCTGACCTTGGCCATTCTCTTTGAGCAGAGCCTCAAGTTGGTGGATACGCTTGCTTAGTTCATTCGCCACTGCTTTTGAATTGGCGCGGCTGGGTTGCTGTCAGATTCGAAATGGTCAAAGTTGAATGATGCTGAGCTCACTTCTTCCTACCATCTCTCGAATCAAATGCGCACGTGGTCCTGGTCTGTCGACATTGCGTACATGCACTCTGACTAGGTTCCACTTTACACTGTTACCGTCAGTCACAGTACCATGAGAACCAGCTAACATACCCTGATTCGGCTCTTTCGACACGGTAGGCATGCCATTGAGGCACGCCTTCTTCGCCTTGCGGAGAATTCTGCATCGGCTGATGTGCCCGTCATGACTTGAAGTCCGGTATGCACGGTCAAAGAGTTGCAACCGGATCATGAAGAGGCAGTACATCTATGGATCAATCCTTGGGGCTCGGGACACGCCCCCGTAGCGCGTCCCCGGATCGACGCACTAAGGCCTAAGAATGCGGGGCCCCAGTGGCCCCACGATGGTGCGGGAAAAGGTAAGCGGTGGGTCTGGGGTGCATGTTTAGATGCAGAATGCCATTCTGCGAGCGAATATGGACTGGAGAGTGCACGGAAGAGTCGGACAATATGCATTGCTCGTCCATCAGAAATTTATTCAAAATGTCAACCAGTCAATACTCGCAAACATTCTTTCTTAGCATGTCGTCGTTGAGTTGAACTTGTCAACCTCATGATTTTCGCCGAAGAAAATGTAGCGCTATAACACCAGGTACCTCTAAACGTTCAGTCTCGCCTCTTCTGCATTCCCTGTCCATTCTCATCGTTGCGAATGTGGAATCTGGTGTTGGCGTTTGATGCTTTTTGGCCAAACCTTCAACCAGCAACCATCCTAGCGGCCCTCTTATTGTCAAACCATATTGCTTGATGCCTACATGATATTCTGCTCAGTATCCACTGAATGCCTAATTGGGCGACCTCGAGTTTGTAGGCCTTGCCTCTTCACTTCTGCTTCGATTGTTCGCAGAAGCTGTGTACCGCAAGCTCGATTACTTTCTGGGCAATATCGGCGAGAGCAGGAAAGGGTCTTTCCAAGAATGTGGGTCGAACAAGCCAGCTGGTTCCTCCAGTAGCTTTCCCTCCGGTTTCAGCTTCTCGTTGTTCACTTCCTGCGCGCCATCGTATCCTCGAACAGGCAGTCGCCAACTATCGCGCCAATGTCGAACTTTGCGAGGGAGCTCATGGCACGCTGCTGAGCGGAGAAGCCATCAGGTGCTCCTTCAATGCGGAAAGGGCGTCTGCGTCCTACTCCAGATTATGAATCTTCGCACGGTATACCGTTCGCACGGCTGGTCGTGACCCGTGTGACGCCATTCGAGGAAGAAGAGAAATGACCGACGACATGAAGTAGGATTAATATGGCGAGGACGATGTCCTACGGATGATCACTGTTCCTCTAAGGCGCTGTGCCCGGAGCTCAAATCGACACGAGGCACACAGTTGAGTTGCGGCGGACGATCCCAAGGTCTTGAGAGAGCCTTTTGGCCATGATTTCGAACGTTTTGATTCGTATTCCGAGAAGATGGGTCATCGAGTGGAAGGTCAGACGAGTCGATGGATGATGGTGTGCCGTCGCGTCATGGACAAGTTGAACGCGTTTGCCAAGCTCTGAGCAGAGAGCGGCCTGTGCTTTCCGATCGGAAATCGTCATCCTGTCGGCTTTGCATCCCAACCCTTCTACACTAGCAACAGTGACTCGGGGTCTCGGCTCTATACCCGATGACGGGGCATTTGGGCATGTCTCAAAGCCATTGGTGATCCAGAGAATGCGAACTTCCATTCGATAGAAACGTACAAAGAGGTAGGTGCATGCTTCCTCAACTATCATCAACTCATTCTATCGCGCCTCTATTTGATTGCAGAGCCAGCCTTTCCATCAATCTTACAGATCACCATGTCTGTCAAAGACAAAGTTGTAGTCATCACGGGTGCTGCCTCCGGAATGGGCCTCGAGACAGCTCGCCTGCTCGCGAGTAAAGGGGCCAAGGTATCGCTCGCCGACGTCCAAGAAAAGCCTCTGAAGGACCTTGAAGCAGAACTACAAAAGTCTGGTGCTCAAGTCATGTCTATGTTGGTGGATGTGAGGGATAGAAAAGCCGTGGAGAAGTGGATCGATGAGACTGTGAGCAAGTTCGGCAAGCTTGACGGCGCAGCCAATCTCGCTGGCGTCATTGGCCGTCAGAACAATGTTGCAAGAATAGAAGAGATTGAAGACGAAGACTGGGATTTCATCTTTGATATCAACACGAAAGGCATGATGAACTGCATGCGAGCGCAGATCCCGCACTTCAACAGTGGTGGCTCCATAGTGAATGCAGCCAGTATTCTCGGCCTTATTGGAGCAAAGAAGAGCATGGGATACGTTGCGTCGAAACACGCAGTTGTCGGCATGACGAGGGCGGCTGCAAAAGAGCTGGGTGAACGAAACATCAGGGCGAACTGCTTCTGTCCGTAAGTGACCACCATACGCTCGTGATCAGAATCATTCACTCATGTGTTTTATTCAGTGGAGCCATTGATACGCCAATGTATCAAAACTCGGCCAAGATTCGAGGCACCCCGCTCGATTTGAGCCATACTGCTCTGAACAGGGCTG